TTTACCTATTTGAAATTCGGTATCCAAATTGGAAAAATATAAAAAATCCGTGAGGTCAGGCCTTTATAGCTGAAATTATGTTTGAAGGAAAGCAAGTTCATTTTGTTTAAGCTCGTGGCATTCTTAGCAACAACTTCAGCTCGACATAATTGAACTTAAGTAATGCAAAAAGCAATCAAATAGTTTACATTTCAAAACGAGTAAACTTGTTACAAAGAGTACATCAAAAGAGATCGATACTCAGAATGCGTACAGAATAATAATTTATTATAGCACATAAATAAAAATAAAACAACAAATAGCGTTACAGTTGCACGAAGCATCTGACAGTAATTCCATTCCGCGACGTCGGATCCGCGGGCAAAAACTAGCGCAGCGCTCACAGCCCCCCCGCCTGTCTATTCTGCTAACCTTGATGAGCGTGAAACGAGTTTTAACTTATAAATATGATTAATTTACTTTATCCAACCATTTAATGATGAACATAAATGCTGTTAAAGTTATAAGGCAACAGAATTAAATAGCACGTATATAAGTAACATCAGACAAAGATTGGTTTGAATCTAATGAAATGAACTTAGAAGTTCATTTGTTTTAAAAATTGAAAGATTCTACTATAACCAGCTTCTAAAGTGCAGCAGCTAAATTATTTACATTAATTTTCAAGACATGAGAATGAAGGTTCAAATTTTATTGCATTGATTGTTTTTCGTGTCATTATAAAACATTTTCCGATACAAAAGCGACATTCGTAAATATCGTCGTTGCGAGGTTGAATTCCTCTGACGTAGTAATTCCCTCACAACAAGCAATAATCTCCCGACCGCATTGCATTGATGACGTGGTTACGGGGCGTGGTATGTGGTGAGCTTCTTTGTAATAATAGTTATTGATATTTAATTTTAAATAACAAGTTGTCGTGAATTCTTAAAATGTTTGATACAGATTAGAGGCAGCTCATTTTAGATTTTTATCTGATATCTTCTTTACTTCTCTCATATTATGTTTAGTATTTTTGTATATTTTAGCAACTGCCAAATTTCCGATAATTCGTGGAGAAATTTACATTCCTAGTTATCTTACAGATATACAGCAAGTTTTTTTCGAATTCTGACTGAGAGCTCGTTATGACAGCGCGATGATTTAAAGGGTCATTAATATAAGTCAGCGTTTCGTAGTTCAGCAAATGGGACTTGTTCCTTTTGTAACATGTATTTTCGACAACTTTCCTGCTTCGCAGAGAGAACAATGACGATAATACCATGGTATATTTGAGAAAATTAACAAAGAGGATTCAGTGATAGAAAAAAAATTATCTAAAATGTACTTAATAAGCTGATATAAATCAGATCTTTTTAAAGGATAAGATATATAGTACTATAGATTTAAAGATTATAACATCAATGAATGTAAGCTATAAATGCTACAGCGAAAAAATATTGAGGTGGCAGGAATGTGCGCTCGCATTTCGTACGTTCCCCAACAATAGACTTTATAAATACATCATAATGAAACGGCGTCGCCGGCGAATAACATTATTTCTTATTCTAGTCCCGTCCCACGACGTATCACGGCGATGGCGACGCTCGAGAACTAGTTACGTCCATGGAATCTCATCCATCGCCGACGACGGCGCAGATACGAGTGGATCGATGCGCCGCTTACGCTGAATGTGAAATCGAGATCTCGCAGGCGCCGAGTGCATCTCAAGACGAATGCCCGCCGCGAGGAGGAATCGATGCGAGGGCCCAGCGGGGAGCGGGGGCGGGGCGCGGGAGACGGGGAGGACGAGTGCAGCGACCTCCCCCGGCGGGCCGCGATGCAATTTGTACATTTCAAGTGCGCACAAAGGCAAGCGAGGTCGCTGTGAGCTTTGACAGAATTAACTTGTCCGTCGCACAACTGTTACCCGACGAGTCTCACCTTTATTGAATTACACAGACGGATAGGGCCCGCATTTAAAGGCATATTTCAACGCTTTGTGGTTGCAATTCTGTAGCTGCGGCCCTCGTGCACGCTTTTGTGTAATTGTATGTATGAGACTAACCTGTAATGATCATTACTTGCTTTATGTGAAAAATGAAGTTGCTTCCTAAAGCAATTTACGCAAGTTACCAGTAAAATCATCATCAAATACGGGTATAAAAATTGTTCGAAATGGTACAACTATAAATATGTCAAGATGTACATACAGTAACTTTAGTTTAAATTATACAATTATACGTGTATAAAAAAGAAATACTCACTTGTTAAGACTTTATCCTCAACAAATAACATACAAAACAGTCTACAGACAAGATTGATTGACAAGAGGGAAATAAAAAATACTCGACTGCCCTTTTATAGCTTTAAAAAAGGCAAAACAAATCAGACAAACAAAAGGCATCAAGCAGGTGTAGTTAGTTGGCTTCGCTCCAAATATAAACGGACTTAACATTGCGAATGTTACAACGATAAAGAATCTACGATACATTATTACTATTTATATTACATATGCATAAACAATCATAACTAAATATTTCTTGGTAATGCATAGAATTGTCACAGATTTATATCGTACGACTAAAATTTTTTTAAATGAAAATAAATTCAGAAACTTAATCAAAGTAAAGCTCAAGTTATTAGCTTCAGCTCAAGAAACTGTATCATATCTAAAACAATCACCTAGCAACAGCTAAGGAGAACGCAATAAAAACAACACGTTTAAATTGTAAACATATTGATGCACGATTAGTGTAGCTTAGGCGGGTAAATAAAGCGCGCCAACCGTCCGCTTGCACAGTGAGATCATTGTAAACACGGGCTAGAGTAAAGTGGGGCACACTATAACGATTCACTTGTTAGGCAACGCTCGTGTGTACTGAATAACCATGTAACGCTACAAACACCCCGCGAATACACAAAATTATGGGACAAAACAGTTCCAAGTCTCATTGAGTTTATATTATAATAAAAGATACCATCAAAACTTTAGTAAAGTCCTACTAACAAATCGAAATTCGTTAACAAGAAATCTTTATAAACCAACTTTAACACCTCATAGCCTAAGTAATAATCTGAACTGTTAGTTTCATCTTCTACTGATCTTATTAAAGTTTTGATATTAAATTAAAATATTATCTTATTGCAGGGTATAATGGTATTGTAACGTCATGATGCATATTCAAATATCTGAATTACACGATATACACATCTCATTAAGACTTTCCATAAAGCTTATTTAACATGGACACCATAAAGCAAAGCCCATAGGAGCAGAAGTTCGCAGCGTCCGTACAATGCTCCTGCTGTTATCAACAACACGTGGGCCCCTAGGTACTAGGTACAGCTAACTTGTAGATAAGGGGAATACATTAAAAAACTCGTGTCGTTCACTCCTGTTTACACTACGGTAGAGTCAGCATCATTATAATAATACATGAACCGAAAACTTTCGCGAACGGAACAACATGAAATTCAACACAATTAAAGTTAATTTGAAAGAACTACATAACATTTAATTTAAAAATAAAATAAAACGTTGTAATTAATTATGGTCTCTGTCAACCAATGGCTTTCCACTAATAATATTTACCGAAACTTAGTAACATCTAGTAAACGAAACTCAAATTTCACGTCAAATATCCCAATTGGATTGATTTCAAATAGACCATCATAAGGCATGTAAATATCTACAACAGTCTGCATCAATCCAACACGACAATTTATAAACTGTCTAGATAGTTAATATTCAAAACACGTGATTTATAAAAGCATGTTAAGTTGTGAACGAGTCACGCACAACATCTTTAGTCTCATAGCTTTCCCTATAAGGAAATTATTCAAGTCGGAATGCTACAAGTACTGGAATTAGCAAACCACTCTTATCATAAACCTTATAAAGACAAAAACAATGAAGGATTTAAATTCATTGCATAACATATTAAAAGCATTGAACCAAAATCAAATTAACACAATAAATAGAGATCCCCTTAGACAAAAGTAATCAATCAACGATTAAAAAATACTTAAGACAACAGTCTAGTAACATTTTGAAGGCGTAAATCTTAATGTATTTTTTTAAATAATTTAACATAAAAACGGGAATATGTGAAACTTTAGCCGACGATAATAATGGTAAAAATAAACTTTTCATCACAACGCAAAAATAAATATTTCAACAACCGCAAAAACTGGTTTTCGAATTTAACATTCTTTTAAACATGTCGTCGTCATTTAATAACCGATTTTGTTCAAGTTTTATTAATTACAAAATAATGTATTAATAATTAAAAAGGTACATATCTTACGAAGTATACTAGCTTTTTATTACATTTAATAGAAAAACTAACAAATAACTAGGAGATAAAACTTCATGAGACATGAATTAACTAAATCAATAATATCATTCACTATAAAAAAAGTTCTCATCATAAATCTGTCTTTATTTTCGTTATATTTACCATTACGAACATTCTTACAAATAATTATGTAGATCTTCGATAAAATATATAAATGCAGTTAATTCTTCTTTCACATGCCTTATCTGATATTTTTACATTAAAAACTCGTCAAACAGGATCTCCTAATATACAGATTCATAAATATGCATTAACTTGGTCATATTTATCGAAAATGGTTGGTAAGAGATAAATTTTTATCAAGATGTTATCTTAATGGTACTTGTTTTTATTGTTCAATCGAGCGACATATATTGCTTCGTATAGATCACACATTCGACTATAAAGTAGTCAAGGACGAGACTTATGATTCTTTTTTTCCTTGATCATTATTAATCTATCAAGAGAGAAAATTTAATTGTCAGAACAATATGAAATACAAAGTTTCGAGTTAATTATTGATGAATAAACGGCGTTATCACGTACATTAACGATAAAAAATATACTGGAAAGGATGTTTTGATAACGCAACTAAGCCACTGTCTTTAACGATTATCTTTATTGTTTGAGTATCTGCTTTGTACTTTCAACGACGAACTTTCTAATTAAAAAAAATCTTACCTTTGGATCAAAACTGAAAGCTGTCTCAGGTCTGAGCGGACAGGGCAGCCCGCACTTACACGTCCCCGCCGTTTGTAAGTACTCCCGGAGTTGAGAGAGGGCACTCAGCACTGTACCGCTAGGACTGGAACAATAAACATTTACATTGTCAACATATAATATAAACGAGTACATATTGTACAAACTTATACAAATGTAACTTCCATAGCTACAAATGTTTCTAAAAAAAGGTTTAGAAATACATGCTTTAACAACATGCCGCTTGTTTTAAACGGGATGTAGAATTGAATCCTTCTTTCCTATTAGGAATTTCGCTTGCCTAGTCTAAGGTCTCTTAAGTGCATTACAATTAAACAAAAGGGATGAGGAGTGCATGATCAATGAACAAGTTGTCTGTTCAGCAATGTTCAGTGACGGGGGCAGTGTTCAGTGAGTCGTATGAGCGGTATGTTCAGTGAGAGGCGCGGCAAAAGCCACCAGTCAGCCGTGCTCTCTCTGACTCGGCTTAACTGCAACCGACGGTCAATCAATATTTAATTAATCTACCACGTTTATTGACTGCTCGGACCACTAAATGTTATTCGAGTGACTACCGAATTTTGAACGTAACTAAATATTTCAGGGAACCTGATGGTATCATGATTTTTTAAATCTTAATATAAATGCATAATTAGTTACGGTAGTTAGTATGGTGAGGACCCTAAATCTGACAGCATAACGGTCAAATTATCGATAAAGTTGTCTTATTTATGTTGTTCTGTACATTAGGCCTCAATTAAAAAAGCCTTCCTTTCTCGCTTACAAATTAAAATATGTTATTTAATTTATATCCGACGACGGAACTTGAATTGCGACAGACGTTGACGTTTTACTTCGTATTTTGCAACTCGCACAGAGCATTTTGTATAATTCCAAGGCGAGATATCATCGCAACATACCTTAATTGGCTGTTAGGAATAATTTGCAAACAACACAATCCGTATACGAGAACGGAACGAACATACCAAGCTGACATTATTACACCTTAGTTCGCTTTACAAACAGCCTCTTTCA